TTATTTCGATATATCGATTGTTTCGATATATCGATAGTTTCGATATATCGATTCTTTCGATATATCGATTTTTCGATTTTTGGATAGTTCGATATATAGATTGGTCGATAGTTTGATAGGTCGATAGATCGGTAGATCGTTAGTTTGATAGGTCGATAGATCGGTAGATCGATATCTAAACAATATATAAAAAAAATTCATATTATATATTAAATTGTTAATTTGTATAAAATTATATATAAAATTAGAGTAACCTATTAAACATTAGTTCAAATTAATATTAATCTATTATTTATAGATTTTAGTATACTAAATATTAACTAACATAGTATATTAAATATTTTTGTATATTTTTCTTCGTAATATATAATTTAATAAAAATATTAAATATTAAATATTTAATTTAATCACTTTTAGATGAAATATTCGGGATATTTCTTTTTTAAGTAATAATCTAGTAATTATGTTAAGGTAAATATTTTTAATAATTGTTCCAATACTGTTCTAAACATTTAGACAAAAATTTGAATTATTAAATAAATAAATCAATCATTTAAATATACATCGCAAATCGAATATTCACCTAAAAAAAAAATAAAGTTAGGATTATATATAGGGTAAGATAAAAAAAAGTAACCCATTAGGCATTTTTGGCATGATACCATAATGTCTGCAGTAGTACAAGTCAGCCACAAACTCGTCAGGCTGATCACACGTATCCCAACTCATACACACACACACACACTTCTTCAAAGTTGTCGAAAACTACTGAACTAGCAGTTAGAATACCAAAGATTCATTTGTGCATTTGTGCAAAACGTTTAATTATTAGTTCTTGGTCAAAATGAATGAACATACACCAACACTAAAGGATTTACATATTTATACATATACACTAAAGGGCTATAAATTAATTAATCACGTAATCACTCGTCAGACAATAAAAAAAGAACTGTGTACTATGTTTTGCAAACTTACGTCTCATGTTAAACTTGTTTGTACAATCCCACTACTACAAACACCAACACCATCATTATTCTCACGTCAGCAACCATTTGCAACCCTTCTTTAGTTTCCCCTATCTTTGTTTTTCTTGTTCATATTCAAACAAAATATTCATTTGACAATGACAAACTGTTTCTAATTCTAAAAAGTGTTTTCGACAATAATATTAAGAAATAGAAAAATGTTATGAGATTAAAGTAATATTATAATGTGGTTTTATTATAATAAATAAACAAATAAATAAATAAAATAATAAATGTTTATGTGATAATAAAAATGTAATTTATTGTATAATAATAAAATGAATTTGGTATTTGTTGCAATGAATGAAATTCAAGTTCCTAATGCCAATAATAATAATAATAATAATAATAATAATAATAATAATAATTAAAATATAATATAAATTATTAGTATATTAAATAAATAAAAATTAAATAATATGACGATCATAATAATTTAAAAAAGAAATTATAATATTTATAATAATAATAATTAAAAGGAAGGATACCAATGAAAAAAAACAATTTAAATAAATTATATAAAATTAATTAACAATTAAATTATTTTTTTATTATTTAGAAATATTTAAGGTGTTTCAAAATTGTTTGAAAATTGTTTTTTACACACACACACACATTTGTTTTTTAAATTTAATTTAATTCAAATTAAATTTGTATTATACCATTTGTAAAAATRATAATAATAAAAGAAAATATAATTGTTTTTTTTTATTTTTATTTTTATTTTTTTATTTCACTTTAAAAAGATAAATATTATAACATGGCAAACGTTTTAATATTTTTCATAGAACTGAAATATCTCATGGAAATAAATTGTAAAAGGGAAATAAACGAGTTGTCTCTTACAAATGTAAAAAAAAAATATCTTACCTCAGATACTACTCACCCTTTAAATTCCCATAGAAAGGTTTCTAAGGAAACCTTTCTAAGATTTCTTTTATAAAAAATATATATATATATATATAAAAAAATAAAAATAGAGAAAAAACTATTCCGTAAAAGCATATCAACTTTTAATACCAGTAAAATGTGTTTCCCCTATTGTTCTCAATTTTTCTATACTTTTCTTTTTTTTTTTTCTTTCTGTTTTAATCCTTTCTTTGTAGTTTTCCATTTCTTTTCATTTCTTTTTCATTTCTTTTTCTTTTTCTTCCTCTTCTTCTTTTCTTTTACTTTTTTTCTTTTTTTTTTTTTTTTCTTATTAAAATATGAAGCTTTTTAATGTTTTAAATAAATTAATAAAAGACTACTTTTAGAATAGGATTAAAACGTTATACAACTTTATACAAAAAAAAAAAATTAATTTGTAAAAGAAATAATAAACATCGATAATTTCTTTTTCTTTTTTTTTTCTTTTACTCTGTAAACAAATAATTGCATATAATAATAATAATAATAAAATATTTAAACAAATTTAACCATTTGAGTGGTTAATATTTTTACTTAAAATGTTTCTATAGGAATAGAATAATTTATTATTAATTATATATGTATATTATTGTAATAATAAATTGTATTTAATAATTCAAGTTGTTCTTCATGAATATAATTTAATTAATTAATATAAACGTTACTTAATTTTTTTTAATTATTAATATAAATTATATTTGAATAATTAATATATAATTATAATTATATAAAATTATAATATTAAATGATAAATATTATATAATAATATTTATAAATAAAAATTTATATTTTAATTAAATTAAATTAAAAACAAAAAAACAATTTTAATAATTATATTGTAATATAAAATTTATAAATATTATTTAATTCATATAAAATTAAATTATATATATATATATAATTTATTTTTAATTATTAATATAAACATTACATTATTTTATATTAATGTTAACAAAAAAGCATTTGCGTTTGTAGACCACTATAATAATTTTTACCAAACGCATATATGCGTCTATAGCACTCAAAAGGTTAATAATTATGTCAACATGATAATAATAATAATAATAATAATAATAATAATAGTAAGAATAAAATATTTTCTGATGATACAAAAGATTGAGATACATACATGTGTATTTATATAAAAGTATTTACATATTTAAATAATATTAATAATAATAATAATAATAATAATAATAATAATAAATCTGAGAATGAGAATTTAAATAAAAACATGAACGGAAACTTAAATCTGAAATGTTTAACTTAGATTTTTGTCCGAGTACTTTACTTTACTTTATTTAAAAAAAAAAAAAAAAAAAAGAGAGATTTATATTCAATGATTTGAATCGAATCGAATTGAAATACCATTTGCCACGATTTTCAGCAAATATTTGCTTCCTCTTTCTCTCTCTCTCTCTCTCTCTCTCTCCTCTCTCTTACTTCGAAAGAAAAGAAAAAATATCTTTTTCCGACCACTTTTGTAAGAAAAGAAAGAAATTTTCTCGATGTCGATGAAAGACGAGGAAAAAGAAGAAAAAAGATTTCAAGAAAAACTATCTCAACCTTAATAAGGTCCTTACCAAGTCGTTTCACGAATACTGGCAGAAAGAATAAAAAAAAAAAAAAATACAATAAAAATAATAATTTGTGTATAAAAGATTCATAATAAAAGAAATTGACGTTAAACGACAATTATTGTGAGAAGAATAAAATTACTTAAAAAAAAAAATAAAAAGATTAAAAAAATATATTTTTTTTTTAAATAAATTTTATCTAATACAATATAATTTAATGTAATGTTTTAAAGAAACGTTTATCTTTTTACTGTACTGTTTTTTTGTTTTTTTTTTTTTTTCTAATTTTATTTTATTATTTTACTATACTTTATATAA